AATGCGTTTACGTACAGACAGACGTACTCATAAGTTATAAAGACTGAGTTTGGTACCACTGATGAATTGTCCAGTCGTCGCCACGTAGTCATCCACATTGCTGCAGCACCCAGAAAGTCATCTAGGTACCGAGCGTAATCGCCATCTTTGATAAGAGCCTGAGTCCGTTCTGCGGAAGCGTACAAGATCAGATGGGCGTTGTACAAAATCTGTACAAGGTCCAGATTGGCTTGCAAGATCGCGGAATGATCATATAAATCTCCAGATCTAGGTTTCAGACTGGGGAAGTCATCCGCAGTAAATTGGGAGGACAGAGATGGCCCACGAGACCAGAACGATTGCCCCAGGCGGACTGATATATGGCGGTCTGCGAGATACACAACTAGGACCACATCAGCAGCTTTCTGGTACGGAGATGACATACTTACAATGCCAAACTAGTCGCTCCTGTTCGCTCTGCTCTTGTGTGGTGTAATCGCGAGATTTGCGGAAAGCCCCTCTGTCTAACCGAAGCATATAACCTTGTCGTATGGCGAGGCCTACAAGTGACCACGCACGCCTGTCTTCGGTGAAAAGATTGCCAGGCGCTTCTTTAGTCTTGAGCTTAGATTCAATGTGAGGTAGCCACTCCGCTAGAACCAAGAGGCCTTCGACCGTGCGGGGTGTTTGAGTTGAGGGACGGGCTAAAAGTACCTCCAGTAGCAGTTTCTGAGCATGTTCCCAACAGTATCGATGTACGAGTACATGCTGCGTCGAATCTCGCGACGCAACAGTCAACAGCACTGTGAGAAGAAAGTGTTCGGATTTCCTAATCTTTTCTATGACCATCGGTGAGTGGAGCCATGCTGGAACTATAGGATAATGAGGATGATAGGTCTTTGTATATCTGATTCCACATCAGTCAATTAAAACAACGGGATAGGTGTCAGGCCTGGCTGACGATATATACTATCCTGCACCATGATCAGTAGTTCACTGATCATACGTACCTTTTTGGTTGCATGGCGTAGTGGTGCAGGGCTGCGTCCTGACAATAGGCTTTCAAGAGTAACTGACTTTTGCAATAGCTCAAGGATTACGCCCATCTGCAGTATCCCCGTTGTTAGCAACTCGAACTCGTCGAGCGTAATCGACCCATTTTTAGTCGCTTGCATGCTGGGCGCCGCTGACGTTGCATCGTCGGCTAAAGTAGGGGTCGAAGCCAACAGTAAACGCTCGTCTGAACGTGCCAGTATCTCGAGCGCGTCAGACGGGTTCCTTAATTCAACTTCTATCTCTTTGCTTGACTCAAACGGTTCTGGCAAGCTTCGTGCACACATCGTAGATTGGTCGGTATCCAGAAGCGTCGGAGATGGTCCAGAACTTGTAGCAGTACTCTCATTCTCGTGCACTAGCGCTTCTGAGATGTCTGTTGCATCATCGCGAGCAGTTCGCGTAGCTTTATTCCGTCTTTGGCCTCGTCTCGACTGCACGAGGACACAATCGTTGCCAGAAAGGTGACATGATCTGCAGGGCGGTTCCTTTCGGCCACTTGAGCCGTCAAGGTCACACTTTGTCTTGCGGTGACGGCAGCGTAGACATGCACGGAAGGATCGTTTACCGGTCGATGTGGTCATCGCTATCTGTTGCTTGTTGGCACTGAATAATGTGATGGCAGGAGCGATGATGAGGATGAGGGTACGAGATTGGCTGCACCGGCTCTCGGCTATGGTCGGTTACGTCGCCATGAGACTAGTGCGTTTCTGCTGCCCTTACCGTTCCACGTGCGCCGTCGCTAAATGTCCGAACACAATCTCACAAGAGCACCATTCGTCCCATCATAGATAGCCTTCGGCTTTGGGGATCGACGGAGGTTTCATGGACAAATTCACGGCACTTCGCCTGCATATGAGAGCTGTGTGCATGAGCGAACACCAGCACATGTTGTGCATATCTATAGTCGGTTATGGATCAAACATGTGGTGGATACAGTTGATCGGCAATGGCAGGCGTCAATCAACCATTGCTAAAGAGACTGAAGCCTCACAAATATAAGATCTAACACCTGTAAAACGAAACAAAGTATCATTCAAGACTAGACAACACATCAAGTTCATCAGCTTTCAACATGTCAGCCACGATTACCGAAAAGACTATCTCTGTCCCGACCCTTCAAATTAGAGAGCTTAAGAACGGCTTCGGTGTTGAGGTTCGAGGGCTTGACCTTAAAGATGGTGCCTCTGATGAGACTTACCGCCTTCTTCAAGACCTCTTGACGAAGGTGAGCGCCATGAAAACATTTTCATGGCTTCTTACTTACTATATGTGCAGTATGGTGTGGTCGTCTTACGCCAGACAAACTTGACCGACTCGGCCCACATCGCCTTGGGCCGTAAATTCGGCGAACTAGACGATGTGAGGCCCTACAATAAGGCCGGCCGTAGGAATCGTCTTGATTATGACGAACTCTTCGATGTCGGCAACATCGAAGCGGACAACACCCTTGTCTCTCCGACTAGCCCACGCGCGCAGGCAAACAAAGGCAACAGCTACTTCCACGTTGACAGTAGCTTCAACCCACGCCGAGCAGGCTACTCCTTGCTACTGGCTCACGAGTTACCTCCCACTGGCACAGGCGGTGCGACAGAATTCTGCGATACGAGGGCGGCTTGGGATGACCTTCCTCGTAATGTGCAGAGTGAGCTGTTGGCTAAAGACCTAGTCGCTTGCCACTCGATTCTGCATTCAAAGAAGTTAGCTGCCCCTGAGCACTTTGCGGGTATAGAACCTGCTGATCATCCTATGGGTCGTCATAAGCTTGTGCAGCGTCATGAAGCATCCGGACGTACGAATTTGTATCTGGCGATGCACATCCACCACATTGAGGGTTTGAAGCCAGAGGAGAGCCAGGAACTATTCAATATGCTATTCGAGCATGCTACCCAGGAGAAGTATAGAGTGGCTGTGGAATGGCATGATGTCGGCGATCTGGTCATCTGGGATAACACTTGTACCATGCACCGTGCGATGGGAGGACCTTTTGCATACAAGTATCGTAGGGATATGAGAAGAGTCACAGTACACGATAATAGTAGCCAAGCATGGGGTCTGAATGACAAATCAGGCGTAAGACAAGGTCTTCCCTAGCTACTCACTGTTATAGTAGGAGAACTATGGGTCGATCAGTCCGGTTCAATGTTCATGGCCACGGTGGTAGCTATAATCGAATGCAGTTCCTTTGCTTCTTGGATGCATGCGAAATCTTCTCTTTTAGAAAACAATGGAAGGGGAAATGCGTAAAGGCTGGACAATTATGATGAACTTATATTAATCAGCTGCAGAGGAAGCGACGAAAACAGAGCAACGCTCAGTTCGCAACAATAACGATGTTTCCGTACGCTTGGACTTTGCGTTTGCATTTTCCTCATCTATGCGGTTCTAGTGGCAAGCTGTGCACATGCACGTAACTAAGATTAGGGTTGGGGTAGTTACCAACAAGCGCAGAAAATACGAGGTATGACCGAGCTTTACAAAGCAAAATCTTTCAAGCGCCGGTAAAGGTCGGTAATCGGAGCTTGCCATCACCGATCCATTTCGTTCTCGTTCTAGCGCTGGGGTTCGTCAACTACGATGACTAGTCTTGTCCCACTCCTTCGCTTTCTAAGCTGCCGCCTCTGCTCTGTTATTTGCTTGAGTCGTATATTCTACTTCTATCGGAGTAATTGTTGACCCGAGTCTGCTCGTACTCATTTGCACAATCCGCGCTTCGTCTCTTACTATGTGTGGAGGCACGATATATAATGTCCACATCTTCACCCATTTCCGGTCGCAACAAACCGAAGCAAGCCTACCAACTATTTGACCCTCATCTATTTACTCACTATGTCGAGCAAGAAGCCCACTCTCGTAGTTTTAGGTGCCACTGGCAACCAAGGAGGATCAGTTCTTTCACACTTTCTTTCCCTCACGCCGTCCCCATATGCACTTCGCGGTGTCACTCGGGACGTAACCTCTACAAAAGCCGCATCTTTGTCAGAACGCGGAGTCGAAATGGTAGCAGGAAACTTCGATGAGCCCGCCTCACTCGACGCTGCGTTCAAAGGGGCATCTGCCATCTTTAGCGTGACGGACTATTGGATTCTTTACGGATCCCTTTTGGTACGGCAGCAGTCTACCGCCAACGACCAAAGCACGATGCTTCTCGCGAAGGAAAAGGAAATTCAACAGAACAAGAACATCATTGATGCTGCGGCCAAAGTTGAGACCTTAGAAAGGTTCATCTTTTCTAGTCTGCCCAACACCGAGAAACTCAGTGGTGGAAAATACTCCCACGTACATCAATTTGACGGAAAAGCTATCGCTGAAGAGTATGGGAAAACGACTTATCCGGAGCTCTGGAAGAAGACGAGTGTGCTCTATGCGGGCTTCTTCCTGGAGAACTACCTCAAGCCTGATGCAAGCGCATATCGTCCAAAGCTGGTATGATTACAACACAAGTCCTGTTTCTGACAGAAAAGAGCACTAACTTGTTGTTAGGACAATACTAACAATACACTGTCTTTGGGAGCCGTTGGCACGGTACATCTTCCCATGTTCTCGGCGAAGGCTAATACCGGGCCTATTGTCCACGCCCTCATCCGCGAGGCTGCTGGCCACAAGGTTATCGCTAGTAACACATGGCTTACTTTCCAAGATTTTGCGAAAATACTAGCCAACGTTCTCAACAAGGAAATTGAGTTCACCAACGAACAGCCGAGCTTCAACATAAGTGATCCAGAGCTGGGACAGAATTTTGCGGATATGATGGGGTGGTATATAGAGTTTAACTACGACGGCAGCAAGGTTGACAAGAGCGTGATACAACCCAAGGATCTTGGTGTTGAATCGCACCTAATGTCTGTAGAAGAGTGGTGCCGTAAGCAGGACTGGGAAAGAATTCTGGATGTTGTTTAAACAGATTGAATATAATGCCGTTATTAGGTATATGAAATTTTCCTTTAATCTAAATTATTGCTATAGAACTACGCTGTCACCTCTTCTAGTTTTACGTAGCAGTAGTTTGGAATAAGTGTAGTCGACTCATGACCTTGAAGTGACGCGATTTCTCCATCAAGCTCTACAAACTTGAAATTCCAGAAGAGTAGTGTGACAAGCGTTCGCAGCTGTATGTATGCCAGCCTCTTCCCGAAACATTGCCTGGGCCCAAATCCAAAGGACTGCATAGGCCCAGCTGAAGGATCAAATTTTAGCCTCCCAAATTCCTCGTCCAATTTCAACCATCTATCTGGGTTGTACAGATGTACGTCTTCTGGCGACCAGTCAGGACGTCTTTTAGTGATATTAGACTTGGTTCGTAGATCCTCCGGAACAGGTATGGCCGGCTCATCCAGTCCAGGTCCACTAGAGGGCATGAGAATGGTAGTCCCTTTCGGAATTCTGTACCCCATCATCTCAGTATCAACTAGAGTAGAGCGTATGAGAGCAGGAAAAGGCGGTCGCATTCGAAGTGTTTCCTCAACAATCGCGTGGAGGTATGGAATGTCGGCACCTGCAATCTCTTCCTTCGTTGGTTGTCGACCTGCCTGGTAGGCTTCCGCATGGTATTGACGCAGATTGCTGCGCAATTTGTCTTGCGCATCTTGATTCTGAGCAAGAAATTTCAGAGTCCAGGTTATAGTTGTCGCGCTAGTTTCATGCCCGGCTTGGTAGTAACCAGTTAACTACGGGAAAGGTTAGCAAAACATGCCAAGTTCCATGGGTTTCAAGCCAGGAACCGACCTCATCGAAGATACCGTTTCTGAAGTAATCCGGTTCGATACCCTTACTATCCGCCGCTTTTCTCTCGCGCTGTACCATATGATCCAGGACAGATGTTATGGACTTGTTTTCCAAACGGGAAATAGATTTCTGTATTTCCATCGCATCGAATCTTTTCACCCAAGCGTAGGATTGACGCAATACCTTATCTTTGAGTAGACAATAATAGTGCATCGTGTTTGGAAACGCACTTAGAACCTGTTCGCCGATGTGGTGAGACAATCTCTCCAGGCCCTTGATGTGAGCAAGGTCTGGTCAGTGTGGGAAAACAACGCTGTTGAATTTCTCGTCGAATTGCAACGGAAGTTCTCCATCGAACGACTCTAGATATTTCAGCTGTTGAACGATAGCGCTGTTTTCATCGTTCACTGCAATAGCTGCCGCAAGGATCATATCTGAAGCAGCGCTGAATATGTCTTCGAAAGCATCAAATGCCCGGCCGTGAGCATGTTCATGCTTGAATTTCCACAAGCTAACTAGATTGGTAGATCGCATATAGATCTGTGGAGAAGACACCTTTTACTGTTTTTAGAACATTCGTAAATTGTGAGGAAGACTTCCAACTTACATTTTGCAGGAATGTTGGTGTCATAGTATCCTTCAACAAATCCTTGTTTGCGCTATATCTTGGGTCTTCTTTTTCAAGGGCAACATGAAACTCAGGTACCACATATCTAAAGGACTGCGTAAAGTCCCGACCTCGACCGAAATCTTTAGCCCTACGCTGCGTAAGGTTTTCGATCTCAGTGAAGTCGGTCAGCACCAATGCGGGCTTTCTGAGAGGACCTAGCCAAACTTGCGCCAGAGGACTGCCGAGGCGGCGACAGTAATCTGTCATATAAAGGATCGGTCGGCCATGAACTTTCTGCCAGGATATGAGTTCTGGCAAGTTCCCGAATATACTGCGTGCCACTTTCTTGTCATAGGGAATGCCAGGAATGGGTTTAGGCAAAGCCCAGCGGTATATGAGAAAACTCACAGCAGCGAGAACAAGAGCGAGTGCAGCATACCCTAAAAAGGAATCAGAGAGCAAGAAATGAGATTTGAAATATGTAATCATTGCAAGTATTCAATATGATATCGTGGTGAGACCAAAAGAGTAGAACAAAATGTTGAAGGATTGATAAGCTCTTAGAGCAACCGCGGGATTTAAGTGTTATATATCTCCGGTTGCTATATCCTGTCATTTGTTTGTGCCCAATGCTTCTATTTCTCGTCCGATCAACCACGCACGATGTGGTCTACTGATCAGATCACTATAGGATTTCGGCTCTTCGGAATTGCTTATGCCGATGATACAGGGAGAATCGTATTGGACTAATGTGACCCATCGGCCGTTGACTTCGCCGATAAAATGCTGACGTTGTACAATTGCGTACAACGTTGTACACAATTTGTACAAGCTAGTACGAAGATCGGTTTGAGAGTCCTTCCTCGATCCTTACTAGTGTACTCCATTGGCGAGTCACTCATTGAGTGATCCACCGAAACGTACCACTAATTCTACTGAAACCATTCTTGTTCTCAGGCTCCGCGCGTGCGAGCATCATACATGGTGTCGACAGAGTTGTCTACAATCAAGCCAATCAAGCTTTCCGGCCAATACGGCTTGACCGATTGGCTTGGCAGCTTAAAATCCACGAGCTTGATTGGCTTGGTTAATAAAATTGATAGAATTGAATGGCCAAAGCGTACTCCGATCTCGCATCGACGTCTTCTGGATAACAGCAGTGAATGTCTGCCTCAAAGATTTGCTTGCTCTGTTAGGCGATAGGCAGCTCATCAGCGCATACTAGGTTTTGCTACAAAGTATTGACAACGACGTCCTTGTAGAGGTAGTAAACTGGAGGTAAGATGATCTTGCTACGAGGTGAGCTGGAGGGTGTCGGATTCTTGATCTTACATTAACGATCTGAGACTTGAGATACAAGCTATTCCTCTATCATCTCGGTTACGGTCACCAGGTGCTAGTTCCCGGCTTCGGTCTCAATCGCATATCTAAACAGTCGGAAGATCACGCAAGTGGCGCAGGCCAACCCCAGGACTGCAGCGGTGTCATGCTGATCGAGTTCCTCATAAGTACCTTCACGTTCCATACTATTGGACAAAGTCCCTGATAACGTCTGCCACGCCTGCAAGATCCTCGAAAACATGCCAATGACCCACATTCTCCAAGACTCGCAGGCTCGCTTTTGCATTCATCTCTGCCTTGAACTTCTCACACAATTGTGGCGGAGAGAGGTAGTCCTCGGTTCCGGTAACAAAGAGAGTGGTTGCTTGTACTGCAGGGAAGTCAAGACCATGTGCATCACCAAGCGCTGTCAAAGCTTTTGCGTAGCCCTCAGGATCCTGGCCAAGCAGCAGCATCCTTATTGCTGCCATCGCCAGCGGATTCGACGTCTTAGTCTTCTTTGATGTAGTCAGGTTTATCCTTTCGTCGATGTCACATGCGATTCCAGATTCACGCACCCTATCGGCTAGCTTATACGCATCAATAGTGGTGGCTTCGAGCGGTGTGAGCGGAGGACCGAGCAGGATCAACTTTCCGACCTTTTCCGGATGTGCTAATGCGAACTTTACGGCGACTAAGCATCCTATGGAGTGCGCCACGATAGTGGCGTTAGATGGGATGTCTTCTACTTCGAACAAGCCACTCAGGTCCGCGGCAAAGGATTCGATGCTGAGTCTGCTGAGTGGCGATGTTGGTGTTAGGCCATGGCCCTCAAGATCAAATACCCATAGCTGATGCGACATGGTGATATCCAGTGAATGGATGAGTGGTCTGTAATACTCTGAGCTTCCTCCTAGTCCATGCACAAAAACGACCGGAGGGCCTGAGCGACTTCCCAGATTCTTGTAATAGACGGGCTTGTCATGGACCTTTGCCAATAGTCTGGAATCCACGCTCCCGGTCGGATCTTTTCGATGCATGTGGGTAACATCCGCCACGCGACTCGCGATAGGACTGTTGTCTCCCAAATTCCCAATGCAATTCGTCAAAGTACCTAGACCGGTTACCGATACAGCCATAGTGTCTCCAGGTTTGAGATAGACAGGGGGCTTCATTCCAATCCCAACACCGGCGGGCTTTACCATAGTCAGCTAAGAATCTCAGTCACATCTTTCATGAGGCTCAAACTCACAGTACCCGTAGCAAGGACGTCGCCCGGCATCAGTGTTTGTCCTTCCGACATGGTCTTGATCAGAAACGGAATTGAGAAGATCAGATCTTCCGTCGTTGCGTCTTGTCGCAGCTCGCCGTTTATGTGCGTTTGAATTCGCAGTATTCTTTCCAATTTCGACGCAGGTACAGCGATTGGACCCTATGTATCTTCAGTACTACTCGGCAATACGATATGAGCATTGAATACCATTGGGCAGAACGTATCGGGCGACTTGCCGATGTAAAACTGCTTGTGGTCTCTCTGCCGCTCACGCGCCGTGATGTCGTTCACGATAGTATAGCCCCACACATGGCTCATCGCATCTGCTTCCGAGATACGGCAACCGGCTCTACCAATGACTACACCAATCTCACCCTCATAGTCAACGGTTTTCGTGAATTCTGGGTGAGGGTAGACATTCTCCCGGTCTGCAATGATCGACGTGTAACGTTTGGTGAAGATCACAGGATGCGAAGGAGTATCTACTTTGTCTGAGCTATCAAAACCAGAGCTGTTGAACTCCTTCGCATGTTCGGCGTAGTTCTTGCCTACGCAAAGGACGTCTCGGCTTGGGAAGGGAGGAAGGATCTTGACCGATGAAGCGGGTAGTGGTTTGCCAGCGGCGACAACGTTGAGCTCACCAACTTCGACGACTTGATAGAGATCGCTCAGTAAAGTTCCAGATATGAAGGCCAAAGGCTGGATAGTTTTGTCATCGAAGTCGTAATGTCCGACGCGGCTCCGCCCAGTACATGTATCTCGATAGGAGATATAGTTGGTAAGCGAAACGTTCTCGTTGGCTAGATCGGACGCAGCCATGTTGACGAGTTGTGTGAGGTGCAGAGGAGTAGGTTGTTGTTAGGTACTGCAGTTGCTACCACAGTAAGGAAGGTGGGGGTTGGGAGGGCGGATATAGCGGAAATAAGAACGCAAGGCGGGGCAGGCTTCCCACATGAGATCGCGAAGATTGCTTGCAACCTCGACACAGATCTTCCTACGCTTATACTACAATGCATAATTGTGCGGTCATTTCTCGCCTCGTCTTCTGTCAGTGCTATATCATGTCTCGCCGAAATTGTCAAAATCTTGGCTGGATTCCTGAATCCAATACCCCAACTGCGTACCAAGTGGATCAAGATCCATGCCACCGAAGTCGGCCCATGGCTGACTTGCTAAAACAGAGGGTTCGTTGGTGAGATTTATGCTCCCGTTCCACATCCCATCACGATCATGCCATGACGGTAGCCCTCCTAATGTGTTCGGCAATCCCTCCAGTTCTGCGTCCTTCGCGCTGCTTGATAACGGGCCAGATGGACAGGAGCTTAGCTGCATCTGGGCCCTGATTTCACTGTGCACTAAAGCCAGCTTGTGCAGCGCCCTGAATATCTCCAGTTGCTTTGTGCATGATGTGTATTCTGGCTTTTTTGCGAGCGACGCTAGAGCATCAACATAAGTCTTCAGACTTTCAAGGTCTGCGAGATTGGCAGTCTCAATGACGCTGCAGAAGATGATGTTGTAAGGCACGAACGGAAAGAGAATTAGTCCCCCATTGACCCATAGCTCGAACGGAGCAGGATCGTTGTTGTAGCTGACGAGCAGTGCGATACACTGAGTATGCTCACGGAGGCTTATACGAGCAGCGGCTATGCATTCGGAAGAAACCTTCGTTGATGGCTTGCTGAATGCAACACGGTAAATGGCGACAAGAAGCAGGTAATCAGTGGCTCTGGTGGCGTGCTGTGCGAATTCAACTGGCATCAATTCTCCGATTGTGCCACGCGAGTCTTCATCCCATCGGGCCTGAGTGTTTCAGTCAGCATGAACCAATGAAAATTAGATGGCCCAGTATACCATAGAAGATTCTTTCGAAGCGATTAGAGCACGCCATTCTGCAGCAATGGCTTGACCGCGTGTTGTCCGATGCGTTGCAGGGAGCGCAAGTGCGCCCGGACAGAAAAGGTCATCATATGCGCTGCCATGAAGCCTTGACATCTCGACAGCATGTATCAAGCTTTGTCTGCTCGAAGTAAGGCCTTGAAGGGTGGGGTACTGGTCCGGCTTCGGTATCGTAATGTGCCCATCACGTATCGTCGAAGGACGCCCGAGCCTGAGTGCTGTGGGTCGCTCGATGCAATAAGTTGACCAGAAGAGACAAAAGCGCCGATGCCGTTCTTCAGAAGCAAGTCCAGACGACGAACTGTCTTGATGCAGGCCCAGCGCTTGGCCGAGCATGGCGGCTTTGTTGATGAACGTCCAGCAAGCGTAGATTTTGCCTTTTTGAAGACAATATACAGACTAGGATTTGAAAGTTGTATATTAGTGACATCTTTCAGGGCTCAGAAATTCAAGTGGGGACTACTCGTCTTACCGCTAAGTTCATGGCCAGAACGGCATCGACTGTTGTGGGTAACCAAAAGTTCAATGTCGACAACACTGTCTCGAGGCTATTTTGGCATAATCTTGCTTGGTCTTTGAAATCCTCTCGGGTAACAGGAGATGCCCATGTTCCGCACATGTTGAACATCCAATACAGTCCAGAGAGGGCAATGATGAGTACGACATCGGTAATGGGCCCAGGAGAACAAACTTGAACGATGATGAGGGTAAAATCGCCGAATGACATTGTCTCTCCCAGCCAGGGGACTGTGGTGGTCCCGTGATCTGAAGTGTTCGTGAGCTGATATGTTCACATGTCGAGTAAAGATCATGCAATCCTGCGAATACCTTGAACCATTCTGAGACATGCCATGACATTTTCTATGGTTGGAAGAGGAAGATCTCTTAGAGTCATGCCCGGAGGCAATGTTTTTGCAAATGGTGGACCTTCATGGAGGCTGCTATGCCGACTTTGAGACCGTAAAACGTCTTGCAAAGTCTGACGAGATAGTCGAATGTCAGCGGCAGCGGATGACTGGTCTCCAGTATCCTCATGATCTAGGACTGTCTCGAGTAAGTCGGCCACCTGGATCACATTTAGGAGCAAGGAAATGTCGATGCCCTCATGATCGGGAGTGGATGTTTGGGGTGGTCGTGACGATTTGCTGGTCGCATGTAGATTGGCATTCATGGTACTGAGTTGTGAAAGATCTCGATCTGGCCGCACTTCGAGCCGCTGCACGAGGCGAGCTAAGTCGTCAAGCTTTTTGGTTATATCTTCGATCCTGCTTTCACTGATGAACGTCAGAAGTCAAACCTAATCAACGGCTCGAACCATACCATCGGGCAGTCACGTACTACAAGCTTGAAACCAAAATCCGCTGTCGCTTCGCTCGATTCTGAATTTCTGGAAATGTGCACTGGAGAGATGCTCGAAGGCATTGGTTGCAGGGGTCTTGGCGATTGCACTTGATCTAGAAGCACATACGTCAATATCCTGCACGAATGGTATTTCTCTTTTGTTCAACGAGACTAACTTTGCGTCTACGGCATCTATCACACTAATGACTCCAATTAGCTCAGTACATTCGGAGACTCCTGGGTGTATGTTCAAACCCTGACGTACAGCGACTTTCGAAACAGGACCTTCCAAACTTTGTGTGGTCTTGTTCTCTTCATCATTGCTAATTTCGTCATGTTCGGGAAGCATCTCCTCATCGCTCATTTCCGCAGATCGTGAGGCTGGTCGTAGAGTCATGCTGGCGGCGATAGCGGCGGGCTCCACAAACTCGGGGTTAGTAAGAGGCGCAAATTAGTGGGCGCAGACCAGCTACGCGCTGGAATGCAATCAACGCAAAGTCGTGCGTTACGGTGGCTAACCCTTTCCCCAGCAGCGATTCGGGCGACAGGTCTCCGTGGTCCGGACTGCAGATGTAGAAGAGCAAAGAGATGACCGCTAATGCTTATGTGACGCTAATGTCACGTGATCAATGACGCGGACGTGCGGGCCGCTCAGGGTCCGCATGCCGCTTGTCTTTCCCTACTCTCGCTCTGCGGCGTGCGGCCTCTTCATGTCCGCTACTCTACCAAGTGCATAACAACACGCGCGCAGTACTCCTGGGTTAACTAACGCGACTCGAACGCCAATATAATAATTATTGAAAAGCCCGACAACATGACTACCAGTCCTGAACTTACAAGCAGCCTTTGTACTACAAATTCCACTCGTTTTGTTCTCTTAACATATCCAACTCTAATAGATCTTCACGGCCACTGCAAAACGCATCCCCCTGCTCATTACAATTCGCATGACGATGTCAGAAAAGCGGAAACAATACGCAGTCCGAAATCATCTCTCTTCTGACAGGCAACTCCCCCCAACCGAGAAAAAGACACCGTCAGCATTTGCTGCATTTTTTCGGACATTCACCTACGCCACATCGAGTCATTATGTTTTGTTGGGAATTTCGATCGTAGCCGCAATTACCGCAGGCGTTGCGCAAGCCATGGTCAACGTGGTCATGGGTGAGTTCGTGCGATTGCTGGGTAGCGTTGGCACCGAGGGCTTCTCTGATAGCTACATGAGTGCGGTCAGCACAACTGCGTACGTAGAGTACAACTCTTCTTCCAAGATTCAAGTTTGAATGCTGATAGTAGAACCTTCAGTCTTTACTTCGTTTATATCGGCATTGTCAGACTGGCTTCCATCTATCTGTATGGCTCCTTGATGACCTACGTTGCGTATCACCTAGTTCGAGCCATTCAGCACGACTACCTGCAAGCAGCTCTTCGCCAAGAGGTCGGTTTCCATGATCAAGGTGTCTCCGGGTCAATTTCCACCCAAGCAACGGCAAACGGCCTCATGATTCAGTCGGGTATCTCAGAAAAGCTCGGTCTAGTTGTGCAGTCCGTAACCACCTTCGTTGCAGCCTTCGTCATCGCCTTCGTCGCCCAGTGGAAGCTCACCTTGATCTTGATCTGCATTATTCCAGCATCCATTCTACTCGTTGGTGGAGTCAGTACGTATGATACCATCAACAACCGCGAAGTGTTCAAGGTCTACTCGGACGCTGCGAGCTATGCTGAGAACATCCTAAGCGCCATGCGAACCGTCAAAGCTTTCAATCTGCAGTCTAGGACGTTAGCAAGGTACAAAAGCTACATAGATATGGCTTTGAAACTCGGAAATAAGCGTAGCAAGACTTCTGGAATAATATTCGGTGGCCAATACTTCGTTGTCTTCGCAGGCATGGGCTTGGCATTCTGGCAAGGCTTCAGTATGATATCCCGTGGTGAGGCAGATCTCGGAACTGTTTTTACGTACGTACCACCCCTCCCATGCGAAGTTGGCGTCGAGTCTTGATTGACATGGATCACCAGAGTACTTTTCTCCGTCATCATCGCCGCTTCGACAGTTATGTTGACAGGGCCAAACTTCGTTACCTTCGGGCGTGCTGCGTCTGCGGCGATTGATCTATTCGAGCTCATGGATAGGAAGTCTAGAATTGACTCATTGGACCCCTCCGGCATAGAGCCTGCGGCGTTGATAGGTGAAGTTGAGCTAGAATATGTCAGGTTCAATTACCCGATGCGCCCTGATACCATGGTTCTTCGCGATTTTTCGCTCAAAATCCCTGCTGGTAAGGTGACTGCTCTCGTTGGTCCTAGCGGCTCGGGCAAGAGTACTATCATCGGTCTTCTTGAGCGATGGTATGATCCAACATCAGGAAATATCAAGATCGACGGCCATGTTACCTCAACCTTGAATCTACGATGGTTACGAACACACGTTCGACTCGTTCAGCAAGTAAGTACTGTCGTGTGATCACACCTTCTAGCTGATGTGCTGACGGAATAAGGAACCTGTACTCTTCAATGGCACGGTCTTGGATAATATCATCCATGGCCTTGTCGCTACCAAATGGCAGCACGAGCCTCGACAGAAGCAGATTCATCGAGCTGTTGACGCTGCAAAGCTAGCTTTTGCCCACGACTTTATCATGCAACTTCCCAATGGTTACGACACTCGTGTTGGAGAAAGAGGCGGACTACTCTCTGGTGGCCAGAAGCAGAGGGTTGCTATTGCTCGCAGTTTGATCTCAGATCCTCGTATCCTCCTGCTAGATGAAGCCACCAGTGCACTTGACCCAACTGCCGAAACCGTCGTCCAGAAGGCGCTCGATAGTGCTGCACAGAATCGCACGACAATCGTCATCGCACACAAACTTTCAACGGTCTGCAATGCCGACAACATCGTGGTCATGTCCAAAGGCGAATTAGTTGAGCAAGGCACTCATGCGGAGCTCCTGAACCGCGGTGGGATGTATGCCAAACTCGTACAGGTGCAGAGCCTGTTGCCAGTTCAGAATCAGCTGCTGAACATCAGAGATACACCCTTGGAAGAAATCGAGAAACAAGACGTTCTCGCTCAAACAGCTGTGTCTCTGGACAGGCCAGATACCGCCGGCCCACATGACCACGGCAAGGTTGGCAAGAAAGAAGACTCACAGTCATCTAGGGAGGTTGGCCTGCTCCGCAGTTGTTGGAAACTAGCAAGATTGACTCCTGAACTGCGCCGATGGTACATTCTGGCAGGAGCTACATGCGTTGTCGGAGCTGCGGTCAACCCAGGTCAAGCCTTGTTATTGGCTCAGCTTGTGCAACTCATGGGGAATGATGATCCTACACCGAAGGCCAATTTTCTGGCTTTGATGTTCCTGGTTCTCTCACTAGGCTGCCTGTTGTGCTACTACACTTTGGGCTGGGCCATGAACGTAATCGCGAATACCTTGAGCGCCAGGGTGCGATCCGGCATGATGGAATGTCTTCTCTACCAGGATTTAAGGTTTTTCGACTCCCCCGAGAATACTGTCGGCTCCATGACTGCTAAGCTCGATTCTCACCCACAGGCTGTACTCGAGCTGATGGGTATCAACATCTCTTTCTCCGTTATCTCGATCGTCAGCGTTGTCGCATGCTGTATTCTCTCCCTCGCCACGTCCTGGAAGGTTGGAGTTGTCGGCATCTTTGTTGGCCTCCCCCCTCTCATCCTGTCCGGCTGGCTGCGACTGAAGCTGGAGAAGCGTTTGAACACGATAATCAACACTTCTTTCAGCCAAAGCGCATCAATAGCATCGGAAGCAGTTCTCGCTATTCGAACTGTGTCATCTCTTGCCATCGAAGAAGATTTCTTGCAGAGATATACCACAGCACTCGATTCGGCTATTCACGTATGCACACCGCATCTGTTCCATGTCATGATTTGGTTCGCGCTCACTCAAGCCGTCGAGCAATTCGTTCTTGCACTGGGCTTCTGGTGGGGATCAAAGCTGGTCACTGCTGGCGAGATCAGCTTCTATCAATTCATGGTCTCATTCATGGCGATATTCTTCTCTGGAACCTCCGCGGGAACGCTACTCAGCTTTTCCGGTAGCTTCACTAAAGGTCACCAAGCGGCGAATTACTTCTTCTGGCTATCTGAACTGCAACCAGTCATAACTGAAACGAACGATAACAGAAGTATTGCACCAATGGAGAGCTGCATGGCATATGAACTGAATGACCTGCAATTCTCTTATCCACTTGTGCCAGACAGTCAAGTTTTGAAGGGCGTCTCGATGACCATTCGACGTGGTGAATTCGTGGCATTTGTAGGCGCATCAGGATGCGGCAAGAGTACCATGATCGCTCTTCTCGAACGCTTCTACGATCCGACAAGTGGTAGCATTATCGTAGATTCGCAGCCCCTGCAAACGATGAGCCCAAGTAGCTATCGTCGCAACGTTTCGCTCGTTCAACAAGAACCATCCTTGTTCCCAGGCTCCGTGCGCGAGAACATCATGCACGGCGTCGATGCCGCTGACATCTCCGCTACAGAAATCGAGGAAGCTTGTCGAGCGGCCAACGTCTGGGAGTTTGTTTCCTCCCTTCCCGAGGGCCTTGAAACACTTTGCGGTATCGGCGGCAGCCAGTTCTCCGGTGGTCAGAGGCAGCGCATCGCCATTGCCAGAGCTCTGGTCCGCCAGCCGAAAGTCCTTCTTCTAGACGAAGCCACGAGTGCTTTAGACACTGAATCAGAGCGCGCAGTGCAAGCGGCTTTGATAGAAGCTGCTTGTGGTGACAGGATAACAATTGCCGTCGCCCATCGTCTATCGACTGTTCGCGAAGCCCATCGCATCTTCGTCTTCTCAGATGGTCATATCGTTGAGGCTGGGACTCATGAGGAGCTGCTCAAGAAGAACGGCATGTACTTCAAGATGTGTCAGGCTCAGAGCTTGGATCGTGGGATATCAACTTAAAGGGATCTTGAGTTAGTGAGTATACCAATAGCCAAGTCAGACACATGTCTTTCGACAGAGTTCGGTTGCAACCTCCGATGAGTCAGCGTGTGCGTCGGGATCAGAAAAGTGCTTTTTTGTGGTCATAGGCCCAAAACAAACTGCAGCACACATGCACTAATCCCAGCAATCTGAAGTGGGCGGGGACAGATTGTTCAATCTTTTTAGACACATAAAGATTGTTTGCTCTGGAGCGGATATGGAAGAAATCTCAAATGCGGTATACTCCTGATGAATAGTGCCCCTATTGATGGTAGATGTATATTTACGAGTCGAGACGGCAGTCGCTTTGTAGTAAGAAGCGCTGATATGCCATGATTCGTCGCCGAGGAGGGTTAATCGGTAGCCCATGCAACTGGAATGGAGGCTTGCGGGTAGAGCCGCAGCGTAGATATCTACCCCGCAACGATTTGACGGGCCG